ACCCACCTCCCAAGTCTGCTCCCTTAGCAGGCATTAATTAATTTACTTTATATTGCTTATTACAACATTTATCTCATAATGGTGATGCTAAAGTCATGGCCTGAGGATTTAATGAGCTGTTAGGTACGAGTTGGGTCTTTTGTGTTATTGTTTTCACTCATTAAGCTTAGTGGGTTTCTATTCAATTTTCCCATCTAATTTTCCTATTTTTCCTGGGCTGTCAGTTCTGCGAAGCTTGGAGGTGTTCCGCAGCTGCATATGTGGCTGCATGCTTAAGGGGTTTTGGAGTTGGAACCATCTACTGCATGTGAAATCTCTTGAAGCTGGTTCATTTCTCTGGCAGTGATGGGAGTCAGATGTGGGAAGGTGGAGAGCAGGCCTTTAGCAGGGCGGGGACTTAATCTGCCCATAACCCAATAGGGTCCAGAGATCTTGGCTTGGTGATGGTCAGGCCTTTCCGGGATAATTCCACTGTCAGTATCTCTTGAGATCAGTCCTGAAAGTGGGCTGTTTTTTTGGCAGCAGCAGGAGCTGGATCCAAAGCCAGTTTTCTTTTCCTTTTTTTGTTTTTGTTTCTGGACCATACATACCTGGTCGTGCTCAGGCTTACTTCTAGTTCTATGCTCACAAATCATTCCTGGCAGGGCTAGGGGACCGATATAGGGTGCTGGGGATCAAATCTGGGTTGGTTGCATGCAAGGCAAGCACTCTACCCTGTGCACTGTCACTCCGGCTCCTCAAAGTTGCTCTTCTAAAATCTTACTATGTGAACAGACCATATCTAAGTTTGTCTGAGTGTGTGTGTGTGTGTGTATATGTTATATATTCTTAATAAATCCATTTAGCATATCTAGTGAACTTTCAAAATCTTGTTAACTCATATAAAGCTAAATTCCAGACCACTCAGTGATAACACAACTGAAACTGTTGGCATTCAAAAAGAATTCCAATATTTGTCGGATAAAAGATTACTGATACACAGTCCCAAAACTACAAAGACAACATAGAATACAGTCTTTCATGTTGTGTTATTCTGACTACAAACTGAACTATGTACCAAAGTCACTCTATTACAATTCTTCCTTTTGTTTCAGTATTTGGGCCACACACAGCTGCTATTGCTTGAGTACTATCACCAGCACTAAGGCACTATGTACTATGGAGGTAGGGGGAACACAATCTTTTGACCATTTCCCCCACCCTGTTTCAGATCTGTTTAATTATTTTTTGGAGGGGGGGAACCCAACTGTACTTGGGGCTCGCTCCTGTCTCTGTGCTCAAGGCAACACTTTTGGCAGACTTGGGGGAATATATGGGGTGCTGGGGATCAAGCCAGATTGGCCACATGGACGACAAATGCCCTACCCACTGTACTATCACACAGCCCCTTATTTTAGTTTTTTTTTTCTTTTCTTTTTGGGTCACACCTGGCGATGCTCAGGGGTTGCTCCTGGCTCTGCACTCAAGAATTACTCCTGGTGGTGCTCAGAGGACCATATGGGATGCTGGGGATCGAACCTGGATTGACCACATGCAAAGCAAATGCCCTATTGCTGTGCTATCATTCCAGTCCCTTCAGTTCTTCATATGACTTTTATTCCTAATCAGCCATGTGCTCTTGTTGGAATCCATGTAGGATTAGGATTAGAAATGAAGGGCTGGCTCACCCCCACCCCACCCCAAGAAATCAATAAATCAATCCATAAATTCACTTAAAATCACTTAACTTCCCATTAGTCGTCGATTTGCTCAAGCAGGCGCCAGTAACGTCTCCATTTGTCCCTGTCGCATGCTAGTGTAGCCCAATGGCATCTGTTCGCTCTGGGAACATGAAGAACCTCAAACCAATCGTTCATGATCTTGATGAAGAAGTCTGACCATCTGGTAGGTGGGCGGCCATGCGGTCTTTTGACATCCCGTGGGATCCAGTCGGTAACAGCTCTAGTCCAGCGGTCGTCTTTAAATCTCATTATGTGACCAGCCCATCTGATTTTTGACACCTTGGCACTACCACTACCCAGCCCCGCCACACTCCAGGACGCTTTCGGGACCCGCGCAGCTGCGCGACACATCATAAGACACTAAATACCCATCTTCCGGAATTGCCGTACCATATTTGATAGGGTTCAAATATGGTAACACCTACGAGGGCGATTAGAGGCCGCCCCAAAAGCCTCTATCCCTCTCGGAAAGACTGGCAAGCTACCGAGAGTATTCCGCCCGCAAGGAAGAGCCTGGCAAGCTATCCATTGTGTATTCGATATGCCAAAACCAGTAATTACAACTGGTCTCATCCACCTGACCCTGAAAGGCTTCACCGAAATGGCAGCACTAAGAAGGATGAGAAAGGAGAGGCCGACAAAATCTCAAGGCCGACCTAGGCTGCCACAACGAAGGAAGACAAAAATGATTGTCTGTACTTTCAATGCACGTACGCTAGCATCAGATGCATTCATCGAGGACCTGATGGTACAAGCGCGAATGATCAAGTACGACATCATTGGCCTGACCGAGACAAGAAGGCACGAATCTCACCATGCCATTTTCAACACTGGAGAAGAATTGTTTCTCGGAACATGAGATAAAAGAGGTGTCGGAGGCGTCGGTGTCCTTGTCAACACAAATTTGGCCATGAGCATTGATTCACTCGAATGAATGCCTAACAACCTGAATCGGACGTTTACATTTGAATAGACGTGGCTCACTGCCGGCAGTTTCTATCTTCGTTGTCTACGCACCAACATCTCATTATGATGAAAGAGAAATCGAGAAGTTCTACATGGAGCTGGAGAAGTTCTATAAAGAAGACCACACACCTTCTACAAGATCATTGTGGGTGATTTTAATGCCAAGATAGGACCGAGAAGATCAGCTGAAGAACTTCACATCGGGACCCATGGCCTAGAATGGAACGAACAGCGTGAGAGACTGTCTGAGTTCATCATGTTGACCAAGACCATCTATGGTAACTCACAGTTCCAGAAGGCAGAATCTAAACGTTGGACATGGGAGTCTCCCGGTGGACGATTCCACAACAAAATAGACCACATCATATTCAATCGACGGTTTTGCCTGACCGATGTCGCTGTTGTCCCAAAATTCCGAACAGGATCGGACCACCGTCTCCTTCGTGCAAAATTCTACTTCACAGAGCGGGGAGAAAGGGCTGCAAAGTTTAAAAAGAGAACTCCCAGAACGACCACCAACTGGGAGCTCTTTGGCACTATTGCGACAACATGGGAAGATGCCATTGTTGACAACATTGACAAGGAATACAATCGACTGGTTCAGCACCTCCATGATTGTGCGAGGAACGCCAAGAGAGAGATAGCCACAAAAAAACTCCTGTCTTCGAAAACTCTTGAGCTTATTCGCCAATGTGGTTTGGCGCATGCCTCAGGCAACTGCAAGCTAACGTCCGGGCTCGCAAAGCAGTGCAGAGATGCGATCAAGGAAGACCTCAAAGAGAGAAGAGCAGAAGTGCTGGTAGATGTGGCAGAAGCCGGGAAAAGTATTCATAACGCCCACCTGTCCTTCGCCAACTACAAGACCAAGATGACTGCCCTCCGATGTCCTGATGGATCCATCACATCCTCCAGAACGGCAATGGAGAAGATTATCCATGACTTCTACTCAAATCTCTTCGATAGCCATGTCCACTTGCCGACATACCAAATTCCACAGGATGGATATGTGGTTCCCAATGTTCTCCCTTCCGAAATCCGACACGCCATTTTGTCAGTAAAGAAACGAACAGCACCTGGCCCAGACAAGGTTAGACCTGAACACCTGAAGAACCTGCCGTCAGTACTCATCAATACACTGGCTCGGCTCTTCACACGCTACCTGTCTGAATGCAAGGTTCCGTCCCAATGGAAAACCAGCAGGACCGTACTACTGTTCAAGAAGGGAGACATCCATGACATTGGCAACTATCACCCGATCTGCCTATTGTCTGTCATCTACAAGTTGTTCACTCGAGTCATCCTAAATAGGATTGGCAGAACACTAGATGAAGGACAACCATGCGAGCACGCCGGGTTCCGCAAAGGATTCAGCACCATCGACCATATCCACACGATAACCAAGCTCATTGAGGTTTCTCGGGAGTTCAAGATGCCGCTGTTTAATGTTCATTGATTTAAAGAAGGCCTTTGATTCTGTTGAGACGGAAGCGGTCATTGAAGTCCTAGCCAATCAGGGCATTCAAGCCCAATACATCAAGATCCTCCATGAGCTGTACTGCGGATTCACTACCAGGATCTCACCATTCTACAAAGAAGTAATCATTGATGTCAAGAGAGGGGTTCGGCAGGGTGATACCATTTCACCGAAACTCTTCAGTGCCACCCTCGAGAACATCATGCAATGACTGGAATGGGAAGGAATGGGAGTGAAGATAGATGGTCGGCAACTACACCACCTCCGCTTTGCTGATGACATTATTTTAATAACACCAAACATCAGCCAAGCGGCACAAATGCTGGCCGACTTTGATCGTGAGTGTGGAAAGGTAGGACTACAGCTGAATCTTACGAAGACAATGTTTATGAGAAACAGCCTCGTTCCTGATGCCCCATTCGCTCTCAACGGAACAACCATCTCCGAATGCAACAGCTATGTGTACCAAGGTTGAGAAGTCAACATGACAAATGACCTAGCACCTGAACTGCGCAGGAGGAAGAGAGCGGCTTGGAACGCCTTCAAGAACGTCGAAGAAACAGCTAAGAGGATGAAAAATCTCCGGCTTCGGGCACATCTCTTTGATTCCACTGTTCTTTGATCCATAAATTTAAAAAAAAAAATAGAAATGAAGGGCTGTGCTCTGAAACCTGAAGAAACCTGTTTTACCTAGTCAATGTACCTGTTGTTACTCTTATTCTTTGAATACTATTATTTTGGTGAATACTTATCTGTTCAGGGTTTCCTTTAGCGGAAGTTTCTGTTAAGGAATAATAGAGCAAAGTTCTGAATTTAACCAGAAAATTCTGTTTACTCACTTGGTGAGGTAGCATGAGAGAGTCTCTCATTTGGGTACTTCTCTTGCATGGCCATCAACACAGTTATTTGAGTCAACTGCAAAATGAAAGAAAAAAAATTTAAAAAAAGATCAATCTCTAGAGGGGGGAGAATACACACACACACACACACACACACACACACACAAAACCCACACACACACACACACAACACACAGTTTTGTTTTCAGTGCTAGGGATCAAAACCAGGGCCTCTCTCAGGGGACCGGCAAGTCCAGCAGGTAACAAAATTGTCTTCACGAGGTTGATCCAAGTTCAATTCCCCCGAGTATCACCAGGAGTGACCCTGAGTGCAGAGCCAGGAATAAGCCCTGGCCACCACCGGATGTGGCCCCCAAACAAAACAAAAAACCAAACGAGGCCCTCTTATGTATAAGGCAAGTGTTCTACTACTCAGTGACATCCCTGGCCTTTTAAGGGGCATATTTAGGCAAAGCAATTCCCAATATTCCACCTTCCTAATGCAATAAAAAACCTAGATGTAGTCAGAAATTCCCAATACTAATTCCAATCTGATCCTAGACTCTTCAACTGGAAAAATTTAAATAAAATGTTCTTCATCTAGAGAGAGAGCTCAATAGGCTAAGGACAAGCTTTGGATGGAAGAGGCAGATTCTATCCTTTCTTGGCACCACATGATCCTCCTGACACCCAAGCATCAAACCTGGAGTACCGCATGAGTACTACCAGGAGTGTCCCAAAACCAAAAAATAAAATGGGTCTAGGCCAGTGAGATAGTACAGAAGTAAGGCAATTTCCTTGCATGAGGTCAAGCCTAATTAGATCCACAGAGCTGCATATGGCTCCCAAGCACTGCCAGGAGTGATCCCTAAGCATTAGAGCCAGGAGTAGTCCCTGTACACTACTGGGTATGACCCAGAGATCTTTAAAAAAAAGGGTGGGGGGAGCCTAGAAGGTTCAACGGCTTAATGTGCGTCTTAATTTTTTTTCAAAATTTATATTTTTATTCAATCTCTGTGAGATACAGCTACAAAACTTTCGTGATAGGGTTTCAGTCACACAATGTTTCAACACACATCCCTCCACCAGTTTACATTTTCCACCACCAATATCCCCTCTATCTTTCCTGCCACCTCACCCACTGCCTCCCTCCAGCCTACCTCTCTGGCAAGCACTTTCCTTCTTTTCTCCCCCCTCCTCTCCTCCTCTCCTCCTCTCCTCCTCTCCTCCTCCCCTCCCCCCTCCCCCCCCTCCCTCCCTCCCTCCCTCCCTCCCTTCCTTCCTTCCTTCCTTCCTTCCTTCCGTGCATTATGGCCTGCAATACAGATACTGAGAGGCCATCAGTTTGGTCCTTTACCCATTTCAGCACACATATCCCATCCAGAGTGATCCCTTCCAACTGTCACTGTCATAATGCTTCCTTCTCTATCTCAACTGGTCTCTCTCCTAGCCCTTGAGCCAGGCTTCAACCGTGGATCATTCGTCCTACTGTCCATGGATGTTCGTCTCCTACTATGTTTTAAAAAAAAAATCCCCACTACACCTTCCCTTTCTTCTTTGTTATAGCAATGACTAGAAGGTAGGGGTGAGGAAGGTTATGGGTTTGGTAAGATTAATACACATGCCTGGCTATCGTGTTCACTGAGGTTTACACTAGTTGCAATGTTCACACATATTCCCAGGGTTCACATTCTTACTGGGCAAGGCATTTGTCTGGCAAGGACAAGATTGTGAGTTTAAATCCCAGTGTTACTGCATGTGCTGAGTTGATCAGGGCAGTTCACTGTGATGCCTAACAAATGGTTTAATGGTTTGACAAGTACAGCAAGTACAGGGCCAAGTTCCTGGAGCCAAAGCACTGTGTGGTCCTGAAAACCACTGACTGGGGTCCCCAGCAAGGAAAAAAAACAAAAACTTAAAAAAAAAAGTGGACCATATTTAGAAGTGCTGGGGATATTCCCAGTTCGATGTTCAGAGATCAAACCCATCATTCCAGCATCTAAAAGAACACACTCCAGCCCACAGAACTATTTCCCTGGCCCTAAAAATAATAATGATTATGGGGCTGGAGAGATAGCTCAAAAGGCTGGAGTGCATGTCATGTCATAGTCCAACCACCACTGGGAGCAACCCCTGAGCAATGAGCTAGGAGTAGCCCCCAAGCACCACTGGATACAGCATAAAATTCAAACAAAATTATGATTACGTTCCTGATCCCAATTCCTAGCATGGATATATGTGGATGCTGCTTTGCAACAATAAGCTATTCTTATTTAACACCAAGTTAAAATAGTTTGCTCTGCAGTGCCAGGTAGACCTGGGGTCTACTGCATGCCAGGCATGGGCTTTGCTGCTCAGTCACATCCCAACTTAGACACCAAACAATTAATGTCCTGATCACCAAATTCTGGTGGAGTGCATGGGAGAAGAGATAAGATTCTCCATACCAACAAATAACGCTTGCAGATCAGAAGAATGTCGAAAAATTCAACTCAACTCTACAAAGGTTCAATCTCTAGATTCTGCTTCACTTCAGAACCTTAGTCACAAATCCAACTTAGTACCTATTGTTTTTTAAACTAATGTTTCTGAGGTTTCCAGGCCTCCCACCACAAATTCCATTAATTTGCTGGAGAAATAACAGAACTCAGATAAACATTTTACTTACTAATTAACTGATTTACTAGAAAAGGATGTAACTGCTAGATACTAGAGAATATAAGGCAAGCTATAGAGAAAAGGTAGAGCATTCTTGCCTCCCTCCTGAAGCACCATCCTTCCTAAATCTCTACAGGTTCATCAATCCAGAAGCCCAGAAGCTTTCCAAACCACATCCTTTTGGTTTTCATGGATGTTTCATTATGTGGGCATGATTGATTTAATCCAGAGGTTATTAAGTGATTGAATCCAACTATTTCTCACCTCTCCAAGAAGGATTAGTGGGGTGAGGGATGGAACAAAAAGTTCCAGCCCTCTAATCTCATGTTGGTTTTCCCAGCATCCAGGTCCCCAATCTTAGGTAAAAGGTAAAGGTAAAGGCCCTCCCGTTGATCGTCGATTTGCTCGAGCGGGCCCAGTAACGTCTCCATTGGAGACTTTGTTGTTACTGTGTTTGGCATATCGAATACTCTCGGTAGCTTGCTGGGCTCTATGAGAGGGGCGGAGGAATCGAACTCGGGTCGGCCATGTTGGCCGCTTGTAAGGCGAACGCCCTACCACTGTGCTATCGCTCCAGCCCCAATCTTAGGTACTTTCCAAAAAGTCACCTCCACCAGCAACATAAAGAAACACACTGGTCACAATCATTACTTAGAAAAATCAAAGTTTTGGGGAGTTGGAACTTTATACCATGAAAAATACATGAAGATTATAACACCGCACATTACTTTTGGCTTTTAAACTTTGCCATGAATCTTTGTAACCATGGGGACAAGATGGGAGGATGAAGTGGAGAAAGAATAGGGCTAGATATAGTACAGGTGTTAAGAACCTTCCATACACCATTTGTCCCCAAGCACTTCTAAGAGCAGTCCTTGAACACAGAGACAGAAGTAGTCCCCCAGTAAAGCCAGGTATACACCCAAACATCTCCCCCCCAAAAAAAAAACTAAATAATCAATAGTGAAGTAGTATAGCTTCAATTATAATTAACATAAAACAAATTACTTAATTTCCCAGTAATGAAAGTTAGTTGTAAGAAACACAAAGAGGGGGAGAAGAAATAGAACAGAGATATAAAGTGTTTGCCTTTCATGTATCAGGGCCCAGTTCTGGAAATACTGGGTACAGCTCCGGGAGCCCCCAACACTCCAGAACCCTCACAGCACATCCTTAGGTCTTTCAAACTATCTGGCCCAGTTGCCAAGAATGGTTGGGATGGTACCCAGTCCCCCTGAACCTCTTAGGAGAAAGACTGCACCCAAATTAAAAATTTCTTAAAATTTTATTTGGGGGCTAAAGAGATATGGCAAAGGTACTTGCCTTGTAGTAAACTCAGGTTTGATCCCTAGCACTGTATACAATCCCGAGACCCTCCAGGAGTGATCCCTGAGCACCATCAAGAGTGGCCCCCTTTGGGGGTATGGTGCCACCAGCAGGTAAATCTGTACCTGTGAGGCGAGTGCATCAGCAGCCTGATGGCGCCTTCAGACTTCCAGATACCCCAAAATTGCTGCTGTGCCTTTGGCCAGACCCCAAAAACTTGGGGCAAAGTTTACCAAGAACGTAAATGGCCAAAAGTTAGATATGTGGGAGACACTCCCACAAACCACCTCCGGCTCAGCTATATAATTGGAGGCATGGCCTCTCTGGTTCCTGATTGAACTGCTTAATGGCCATGATCCCAGAGACTCAGAAACAAATCTCAAAACCCAGTGGCTTTTGGCAGAAATGTGTCTGGACCCCGCAATAGGTTACTGTTGCCAGGTCACCCGAGGGGGGAAAGGGTGCTATCCCTCCGCTTGCTCCCCCTTGGCGGCTCAGTGGCTATCATCCTCCAGGGGCCATTGGGACCGCAGTGACGAAACTTGTTGGGCCTCATGGGATGGGGGTGGAGCCAGTCCTGTCCTCCCCGTCCCAACGAGACCTCAAGTCATTGCCCACAAATGGCCTCTTTGGCTCCTGATCAAGCTGCTTAATGGCCATGATCCCAGAGACTCAGGAGCAAATCTCGGAACCCAGCAGGTTTTGGCAGAAATTCCTCCAGATTTAAGTGCTAAAATTTTGAAATTTCAAAATCGTGTGGCCACTACTGCAGTCACATGACATCATATGTTATTCATAACCAGTAACAGAAAACAAATTGTCTACTGTTGCCTTTTCAGCAGATCTAAGTGTTGGGGTAAAATCTCAAATAATAATGGTGGGTCTGGTGTCAAAACATTGAATGTGATCAAAGCAGAGAGAGAGTAATGTGGAAATCATCTGCCCCACAGGTAGGGGGACGGTGTGGTGTGGGGGTATACTGGGGTTGTTGGGGGTGGAGAATGGGCACTGGTGAAGGTACGGGTGTTTCATTGTATGACCGAGACTTAGACTCAAAAGTTTTGTAACTGCTCTCACGGTGATTCAATAAAGAAAATTATAAAAAATGAAAGAAAAATAAAAGAGTGACCCCTCTCAAAAAAAAAAAGAAAAAAAATTATTTATTATAATGGTAGTGCTGAGTATTCTGCAAAAGTCTGATTACTATCTGTATGAACAAAAACTTTATAACAATAGCAAAAAATACGATGTTCTTGGCTATTTTTGGTCACACTTGGTGATGCTTGGGTTACTCCTGGCTCTGCACTCAAGAATTACTTTTGGCAGTGCTCGGGGGACCATATGGGATGCCAGGGATCGAACCTGGGTTGGCCGTGTGCAAGGTAAATGCCCTATCTACTGTACTATCACTCCAGCCCCAACTCTATGATTCTTATACCACCAGGGAAAGCCCCTGGGGCCTTGGGCCAGCTGGTCCTAAGTGCTTGGGCAGAGTGGACAAGGGCTATTAAATTTCAGAATTAGGATTAAATGTATCCATATAAAATGTTAGTAATAATAACTATGATGATGGTTTGAGGGCCACCCAAATATAAATATCTTATATTTGAATACTACTTGAGAGGCAGTACAAAGGAGTGGTTCAGAGTATGGACACTTGATCAGAAAGCTTGGGTTGAAGTCTAATTTCGGAACTTAATCTGCTGTGTAATTTTTTATTGATTAATATATCTTGATTTCTTCAGAAATATGAGGATAAAGCAGGACCTAATTCATGCTAATTCATTTACAATTAACATAATCTTCCCTGGCATATTAAATCTTAAGTTTTTATTATTAGTTGACAGAAGTACGAATTTAGAAACACTTGACTTGTTTTGAATAGGGGGCTTGCCTTGCAAGTGGGCAACCTGGGTTTAATACCTGGCACCACATATGGTCCCCTAAGTCACTGGGAGTGATTCCTGCGTGCAGAGCCAGCTCGGTGTGACCCAAAAACAAAATAAAACAAAATTTAAAAAAACAGTCCCTGAAGAGTTTGGCATAAATATAATTAGAGTTAAAATTCAACTTTGGAGGTGAAAAATAAAACAGGTTATAAGGATACCATTTCTCTAATGTATTTTATTGACCTCTATCGTTTTCTCTTAGTAACAACTCAAACCCTGATTCACTATATCTAAAACAGACATGAGACCATCCCCTGGACATCCAAGTCTTCATAAACTCAATGCACTTTGACTGCTTAATTTATGGCTATTATTCAGTGTGTCAATGGTGACATTAGAAAAATTCTATTTCCTACTACTAGTGATTGCAAATAGTCAACATCAAAATCTTTTTTTCTTTAAGGCAGAGATTAAAACCCGGGCCTCACACATGCAAAGCACGCACTCTACCACTGAGCTACCTCTCCTGCCCTCAAAATCCTTTTCTTTACCCCTTCCTTAAAGTATAAGGAACGGATGGTAGGGCTGGAGCAACAGTAGAGAAAGTGGACACTTGATTTGCATGCTACTGACCCAAGTTCAATCCTCAGCATCCCATACAGTTCCCCATGTACTGCCAGGAGTAATTTCTGAGTGCAGAGCCAGGAGAAACTCCTGAGCATTAATGTGTGGCCCAAAAGCAAAACAGAAAATAGCAGGAAACAGAGAAAGAAAGAAAGAAAGAGAGAGAGAGAGAAAGGAGAAAAAGGAAAAGAAAGGAAAAAAAGAAAGGAAAGGGATAGTAGGCCCATTAGAGTATGAGACCATTCTAATCTAATAGCAGACCTATTAAAAACAGTGCAGCTCTGGGCTGGAGTGAGAGTAAAGCAGGCAGAATTTTTGCCTTGCATGCAGCACTCAGGTTTGATCCCTGGATGGTCCTCCCAGCCCCACCAGGAAAAAAACCTGAGCACAGAACCAGAAGTAAGCCCTGGGCACAGCCAGGTGTGCCCCCCCCCCCACCAAAAAAAATCCCAACAAATAACTGTACAGATTTTAAAAACGCAGTGTACAGAGGCAAATATTTAAAAAGTACACAACATTGATGGCTTCTATCATCAAAGCCCTTTAAAATACAGACAGACACTGATGGAGGGATGTGGATACTGGTGGTAGGTCTGGAATCAGAACACTGTACACTGTAAGCCTGAAACTCTATAATTAACACCACTGTAAATCGCAGTGCCTAAATAAAAAATTCTTAAATAAAATACAGACATGATTATTCAACAAATTCAACATGTATTCAGTGGTTACAATCCATCAGGAACTGTGCTAGCCACTTGGCAGGTACCATGTTTAATAATCACCTCAAAATTATAAGGCGGTTTACTATTATTATTATTCATAAAGACAAGAAAATAAAGGTTGAGAGAAATAAAAGTTACAGAGCTAGGAAGAGGCTTCAAAGCCAGGACTGCATGCTAATGTTGTTTAGCCAGCATTCTTTGATGTCTGACAAAGAGAAACAGTTATTAAAGCACCACAAATTGGAGTTTCTACCTCAGATGTAGTCAGAGCTGCCAGTCCCATAGCAGTCAGGAACAGGGACAACTCTCATTTCTTAACACACACTCAACCATTGGCTATCACCCAGGCTTTATTTCCCCAAGGTGCTATCCAAGTATTAGATTTTGAGTTGTAACAAGCATTTCTCCTCTAGAAGAATTATAACCTCCGTGTGGAATGTCACAGTTGGCAGCTACTGAGCTCAGCACATCAAGCTGGGTGAGGATCTGAAGGACAGACAGCTGACATAGGGACGTGAAAAATCTCACACAACCACACTCTTTTCACAGCACTGATGATGCATTAAACCAAACCCTCAGGAAAGAAAAAAAAGAAAAACAACGACATCCTTGCCAAGAAGCTGCCTTGACAAGGGCCAAGACCAAGTAAATCCAAGGAAGCCCAGAGACATAGGAAACCATCAAACCATTCCTTCTGAAAGAGACTGCAATGAGATATGAGACTTTGGGGCGCTACTCCCCGCAGAGGAAGAACCCAGGGCTCAGTGTGCGTGTCCACACTGCAGCCTTTGAGGGGACCTCTGCATCGTCCTGGCTGCACACCCCTACCCTCCACCACGCACTTCATCACCCAGAAGACATGGATTTGAGCCCTCCTCTGGCTGCTCTGGGCCACGGGCTGGAAACGGAGCAGAGTGAAGGCAACGGGGCGTGTGATCTCCGCGGGTCCTGGGGCGAATCGAGCGCTCCACACGCTACATCGCACAAGCTTTTGCCTCCGACACTTGAGCCTGTTATCAGCCAAGCCGCGGCTCCTCCTCGTCTAGACTCCAGAGAAGGGTTCCCCAATCTCGGGGCTCCTGGCATCGCAGGTGGGCTGAATCTCGGGCAGGGGAGGAGCTGTCCTCACGAGGTGCGAGGCTGTCGGGCGCGCCCCTGACTCCCAGTCAGAATCCTCTTCCCCGAGAAGCCGCTCACACCGCGGCTCCCCGTCTGACGTCCCCGACTACGGCAGCGCCTCTCCCGCCGAGCTCTCGGAGTTTCTCCCCCACTGAGAGCAAACCGGGTCAGCGCCCGTTGGGACTCCGCGTCCCGCGTGTGGGGGCAAGGAGGGCTCCCCGCCGGCAAAGCAGCGGAGCGGCGGAGGGAACACGGTGAAGAGGTCGGGGAGGCGACAGCGACCGGCGGGGCTGTGCGGGTTTGCGGGGGAAGGGGGAGAAAAAAAATTTAAGGCCAGGCGCTGAGAGACCAAGGGGAACCGGCTCAGGGGCTCTGCGCGTGCGCTCTGCTCTCCCGCGCACCCCCAACTCCCGGAGGTAGGTAGCGTCTGAGGCTCCGCCCGGACTCCCAAGGTGGGGTAGGGTCAGTCAGTCTGGGGCTCCCGAGGGCAGCAGAACTTACGTGGGCGTGAAAACTGCGGCGAAATCGCACACTCAGGGATACTGACTAGTCACCACGTCGGAAGCGAACGGCGGTTCAGTCTCTCGGTTTCGCCAACGGCCGTTACACGCCCGCCTGGCCGCGCGCCTGGCCGCGCGCCCCGCCCCTTTATGCTCGCCTGAGACCAATCAGGAGTCGGGCCGCACCACTGTCCCGCCCCTTCGCGCTGCAGCTGGCGCCCAGAACAGGAGGATCTTTTTTTTTTTGCGCATGAGCCCGCGTCTCTCGAGCTCCCTTAGTCTTCTCGGCTGCGGCAGGCCGGGACTCGCTGTGGGCGGAGCCCTCGTCACCCAGACCTAGGAAGTGGCGCAGCTGGAGGCCCGGGCGAATCCTTCGGGAATCCCACGCAGCCCGCCCAGCGGTCCTCCATCCCCCACCACTCCTTCTTAGGCCTCCCACCTGAACCACGGGTCAGGTTGTGACCAGGTGTTATGGTGTGGCACGCAGCTCCTTGTCAGGTTAAGAATCTGCGATTGAATTGGTCTGAGTCAATGAAGGGTCAGGAACCCAAGGGTAGGGAACCCAAACTCAGTTCCCTAGGAAAAGGATCTAAGTTCATTTGCATTATGTATATATCCTTGAAAAATCCGACTGGGAAACTGTTTTAAAAAGGAACTCTGGCGGCAAAGATAGTACAAGCGTGAAGGCGCTTGCCTTGCAGGCTGCTTACCGCGCTTCCATCTCAGGCACTGCATATGGAGCCCTCAGCACTAACTGAAACGGAAGAGTAAGCCCTAAGCAACGTGCGGTGTGACCCCCTGATGCTGGGAATCGAACCCTGGTCGGCAGCGTGCAAGACAGACACCCTCCCCACTGTCCTATAGCTCCAGCCCAACCTTTAGGACCTTTTAAATTCTATTCCTGACCTATGAAGTCATTATCTATTACCAATGAAATGTGTACGCTAATTTAACAAATGTGTGACTTTGACAAACAAAAAAAAAATATATATATATAGATAGATTGTTCACGACTTAATTTTTTCATGAGTTGTTAAAAGCATTTAAATGATTTAAAAAAAAGAATTTGGGCAATTTAAAATTGAGTGGACCAGAGAGATAGTACAGTGGGAGGAGTGTTTGCCTTTCACATACATGTCTCATCTGGGTGGGATCCCTGACCCCAAATATGGTCTTCTTGATCCCTGCCAGTAGTAATTCCCTAAACACAGAGTAAGCCCTGAGCATCACTGGATGTGGTCCAAAAATAAAAACTAAAAGACTTAAATTTGGTATTAGAGAGGTAGTATAATAGGTAAGAAAAATACTTATACTCACAACTGACCTAAGCCCCAGACTTGATCCCTGACACCACATATGGTTCCTGCCAGTAGTGATTTCTAAACATAGAGCCAGAAATAAGCCCTGAGCATCACAAGATGTGGCCACCACCCCCCCCCCCATTAAAAAAACAGACTATTATTGGACCTCTAGATGTGTCATTGGGGGGCCTCTGAGCCATAGGATTTGTATGGCCTTATAGCCCCCAGCACTGCCAAATCGAAGTACTGCATTACTGGGCAGAAGATCACACTGCTGTACCCAGTACTCAACCTCATTGGATGGAGTAGAGCATAGTCCAGATTGCACTATTGAAAATGAAGGAAAAAATTGGAAGGGGCTTAGGGCCTTCTTGTGATTTTATGTAGGTGTCATCTCTACCAACTTAAAAAGTCTGTCTTGAATTCTGGGCTTTCTACATTCAGCTCTTTTCTCTGTAAGGTCAAAGATTGTATTTTGTGTAACTTTAAATCCCCCAGTCTTAACGTAGTTGTTGGTAACTTTCAACTTGCTTTTTAGAACAAGCACTGTTGTATCCGAATTCTGCTAGACAGCTCATACTTCATGAGGTAAGAAATAATCAGTGAAGGGCCAGAGAGATAACTTAGCAGAATGTACCAGAGAGCTGGGTTCAATCCAAGCACCACTAGGGGTAACTTCCTTGAAGCACTGACCTGGGAAAACAGGAAGAGCCCCTGAGCACTGCAGTGTGTGGCCCCCAAACCATCATCATAGTTATTATTACTAACATTTTATATGGATACATTTAATCCTAATTCTGAAATTGAATAGCCCTTGTCCACTCTGCCCAAGCACTTAGGACCAGCTAGCCCAAGGCCCCAGGGGCTTTCCCCGGTGGTATAAGAATCATAGAGTCTTCATGTTGAAATAGCAATCACCTGATCAAACTGTGGACTCCATAGAGAAAAGAGTAACTACACACACAAAAACACACACTCAGACAAGGAGCTAATGTTTTACAGTCAGATCACACAGGAAAGGAGTCAGACAAAGGAGAATTCTCTAGTGTTTATTGACCATATTCTGTGTACTGAATTTCTGCCATATTGAGCAGCTTGGAAGAATTGCAGAGAAGGGAAAAGGATGTGAGATGGGAAGCATAGCCAAAAGCTCAGAGGCTCCACTCCTCACCAACGTAGAAGGCTCAAACTTGGGTCCTCTTTTCACGCCCTAGCCCTCTGGTTCCTAACGCAAGGACAAACTAAATTTTGCCTCTTTCTAAAATCGTTTTCCATCAAGCAACTAAACTAGAGGCCAAGGACTAGAGTCTAGAGAAAGTACATAAGCAGAACTTTATCCTAGTATCCAGCCTATCAACATCAGAAGAGAGATGGTGATCCAGACTCCTGTAGGAAAGAGAAAAATGATTATAAAAAAGGACTGGGTGGCTTTGGAAACCTTTTAGGCTTAGATGATCTTCTACTTTGAGAGATCACTAATCCATTCATGCACTTTTTTATGCCAGCTCATCTGTTTTATTGGCGTCAAGGTGGATGGGGAGAAAAAGACAAAAAAACACTCTCTAGTTTAATGTGGACTCAACTTAACCCCCCTCACCATTACCTACCTGACTCTGTGTCTAGAAATTTCTGTCTCTGCTCTATATTAATTCTGGGGAGTGTCAGTGATGAGGGGCAAAACTTTAGGACAATCTACACCTGTACATTGATCATTCTGCCATGAACTACTGAGGAAGCCGAGAATCAGAGTAACTGACTTCTCCCAGATCACATGGTATTGAGTAGACATGATCCAAGACCAGTACCTGACAGAACACACTGTGATCCCCAGAGCCCATTTACTAACCTGTTGAACTCCTGTTGCTGGAGGCATTGGACTCTAAAAAGACACAGAAAGACTGAGTTTAGGGACTGGATGTGGCTCAGTGATTATGTGTGAAATTCTGGGGGTGGTTATATATGAAATTCTGGGCTTGATTCCCAGATCAGCAAAATAGAAAAAAGAAAGATCGCACTTGAGGAGTCATCCTGGCCTATACTTACCCATCATTTCAGCCTTAGGCTTTTGCCTAAAACTGACCCCTTACTGATGTTGAGACTCAGAAGGTCATGATAAATGAACCTTCTACCTCTAATTTAGAATGGATTTACAGCTCATTCCCATTCTGGAATTGCCTGCATTCCAAATTCCAATATGGAAAGTGTAATTCTTTTAGTTTGTAGAATTCCTTCTTCTATCTCATCTTTCTTAAACAAAACGATTTTACTTTACTGAAAAAAAAAAAAGAGAGAACAGACTTACTGGATGGGTGAGAGGCTCATAGGGCTGAGCACATGTTTGCATGCAGGAACTGGGTTTTGGTTTGGTTTGGATTGGGGTCACTTCTGGCAGGGCTCAGGGTTTACTCCTGGTTCTATACTCAGAGACCAATCTTGGCAGGGCTTAAAGAACCATATATAGTACCGGGGATCAAACCTGAATTAGGGGGCTGGAGCAATAGCACAGTGGGTAGGGCGTTTGCCTTGCATGCAGCCAACCTGGGTTTAATTCCCAGCATCCCATAAGGTCCCCCGAGCACTGCCAGGAGTAATTCCTGGGTGCAGAGCCAGGAGTAACCCCTGAGCATCGCCGGGTATGACCCCCAAAAGTAAAAATATTAAAAAATTAAATTAAATTAAAAAATCTGAATTGGGTAGGTACAAAGGAGTCTGGTTTGATCCCCAGCTCTCATGGTCCAAACAACACCAGAAGCCTAGCTAGGAGTAGACTCTGAGTACCACCAGCTGTATTACTACACCACCCCAACTCTCCCAAAAGAATAGTGTTACTGAAAAAAGACTTTCCTGAGAGGGAAAAGCTTTGAAGGACCATCATGGAACAGAAAAAGATGGTTCTTTGGGATCAAAGGAAGCACAGGGATTAAGATGGTTGTCTTGCATGCAGTTGACCAGGGTTTGATCCCCAATACTCCATATGGTCCCTCGAGCCTCAGCTGACAGGAGTAAGCCAAAAAATGTGGCCCTAAAGCAATCAAACAAACAAAAACAAGACAGTTCCCAGGACAGCAAGGATTTACAAATGAGGGCTGCCTAAAGGAAACACAGACAAGCTAACTGGGGGACTGGAAAGGTGAGAATGGAAGGAGAGGAGCAGAGTTGGTCTCAGCCTATAATGTTAGAGAGGAAAGGAATCCTATGAGAGGAGCAGATCCGATGTCAAGGAGATTGGGCTGGTGTGGGAGACTTAGAATTAGGAAGGAGTGCAAGAACATGAGAATGGAAGAGGACTCCAACGTAAGGTCAGGGTTCTCAGGGCAGATCCCTGGGAGATTTCAAAGAGGAGGCAGGGAGGCCACCACGTGATCCAGTTACCGCTTATTCGGATGGGCCCGAACTCTATCCAGACAGATTGACTCTCCAAGTCCTTGCTGCCTCGAATCTCCCAAGGCCGATTTTTCGCAGGCGAACTCTTCTGGCTACAGGTCTGTGGGAAACCGACCATAAGAGTCGCTAAGTCCCTTTCCGCCCCAGCCAGGGAGGACCTTGCCCTGAACCCCAATAAGGTCCCGCTACAGTAACCAGAAACCTAAAATTTAAAAATCAACCCTTACCCCAATGAGCCCCGCCCCCGGACCGGATAGGCCAATCCCCCGCCCGGCCCCGCAGGATGAGGGCGTTGCTGCGACCGTTGCCGGCCAACCCTGGCTGTAGGAGGCTGCAGCGACTAGGGCTGGGAGCTCCCAGGGCTTCCTGCTTACCGGCTGGCACGGATGTCCTGCTCGTTTGTCGCATAGGGTCACTCGGCCGTGCAGGTAGAGTGTATCTCTGGCCAAGAAGCGGATCAGGTTGAAGGCCAGCGTCACTTCCAGAGAGTCTCCGTTGGCTCGCAGTCCCCCGAGCAGCTGGTTGCTAACTGGGCAGCTACCGGAGGAGAGATAGAACAGAGGTCACGGCGATTGCCTCCAAGTTTGATTGACCCCGGTGCAATACCCGGCACCTATCTGATACGCTGAGTACTGCCAGCAATGTGCCCTGAGCACCGATGGGTGCGGCCCAACCCGCCCACCAAACAAAACTAAAATTGTGCAGCTGCAAGAAGGGGCAGCGCCACCTACTGTTAGCAATCCCGGCTTTCGGGAACTAGTGGAGGTGAACTCTGATTTCCCCGTTATTGTCCTGTTCGGAAATTCCCAAGTGAGAGAACTTTAAGTGCATTATTTCGTTTTATCCTCACATCAGTCCTTGGAGGAAGACAATGTCATGCCCACTTCCTCCCTCATTTCTTTCTGGTTCTTCCTTTCCTGTTTAGTTTTTATTGTCAGGCTCAAATACAGGGCCTCACACATGCAAGGCAAATAAATGCTCTACCATAAGCCTCCCCAGCCCTCAGGCACTGGCATTTGTGGAAAGATCTTGGGTAAGACCAAAGTTTTGAGCTTTTCTTTATTTTGTTTTTTTGGTTACACCCCAGCTTAAGAAGCCATGTGATGCCAGAGGTTGAACATGGACCTTCTGCATGCAAAACATGTTTTCTAGCCCTTCTCCCTGGCCCCCTTTCCTTTTTAAATAATCTTTTCTCTCCTTTTTTCTTTTATTTACCCTCTTTAACCTCGTGGTTATTATGTTTATGTGTCAGTAGTAATTCATGGCCAAATAACATTTTCTTGTCTTTCTTATGTATGATGTATATATAGTAAGTTAAGGGATTTATATAGGGCCTGTGATATAACATCCACAGACAGAAAGAAATTATTTAGCTTTACTTATTTATTTATTTTTGGTTTGGGGCAAGCACCATACCTGCTATACTATCTCACCACCTCTCCACTCTCCAGAAAGGTTATTTTTTTTTTTCTTTTTGGGTCACACCCAGCGATGCACAGGGGTTACTCCTGGCTCTGCACTCAGGAATTACCCCTGGCGGTACTCAGGGGACCATATGGGATGCTGGGAATCGAACCCGGGTCTGCGGCGTGCAAGGCAAACGCCCTACCCGCTGTGCTATCACTCCAGCCCCTATATAGGTTTTATACAACATGCTCAGGAGAATTGGGAAACATAAGTGAACAAAACAGATCAAACCTGTTTTCTTTGAGAGATAGAAAGAGTGAGAGAAGAAAAGTGCCTGCCATAGAGGAAGTGGGGAAATCATAGCAGGAGGGAAACCGGGGACACTGGTGGTGGGAAATGTACACTGGTGAAGGGATGGGCATTGGGACATCATATGACTAAAACCCAATCATGAACAACTTTATAACTGTACATCTCATGGTGATTCAATTAAAACAAAACACTCTTATTTTCTTGTGAATGAGGGGAAATTTTTATCTTTTTTTCCCCCTCCTGTCAGGGGAAAAATATGGGGTATTAGGTCAGCCACATGCAAGACAAATGCCCTACCTGCTGCCCTACCTACTCTCTCTCAGACCCATATATTTTTTTTTATTTTAATTGAATCAATGAATTGCAAAGATTGTTCATGTTTGAGTTCCAGGTGCACAGTGTTCCAGTACCAGTCCTTTCACCAGTGTCGACCTCCCTCCACCAAAATCCCCAGTTTTCCTCCCAACCCTCAACCTGCCTCTATAGCAGGCTCTTTTTCCTTCTTTTATTTCTTTCCTCTTTTAAGCACTGTGGTTTACAATACCATTGGAGGCAGGTATCTTAATTTAAAAAAGTAAATCATCTTATATAATATAGTATGTAGTTTGGAAGTGATAGAAGAGTTATCTAGAATCAATGAATGGAGGTTTAATTGCAGTGTGGGGGGGGCGCCTGTGGGGAGGGGTGCCAGGGATTGAAATTAGGGCCTCAAACATGGAAGGTAAGTGCTCTACCACTAAGCAACATTCTGGTCCCACATTTGCAATTTTAAATAGCAGGATTAGGGAAGCATCATTGAAATTTTAGCAAAAGATTGAAGATGAGAGTTTTCTTATGGATATCTGATAGTTAAGGGTTCCAAGAGGAGAAATCAGCAAAAGCAAAAGCCCAAAGGACAGAAAATTACTTTCCCACAGAGTTACTGTTCACTCAGATTCTACCTTCTCATAGACATTAAAGAATCACTTCTGATCTTTGTCTCCCAAAGCTTGTATAGTCTTTTCCCCTGGGGGTCTTTATCCCACGGCTCAAGTCTACCATAAAAAATATTCACTTAAGGGCCAGAGAAAGTGCAGGAGGTAGGGCACTTGCCTTGAAAGTAGTGTTCACTTTCCTAATTTGAATCTCTGACACTATATGTGGTCCCCTGAGCACAGCTGGGGTAACTCCTGAGCACAGGGTCAGAACTAGCCCAAGTGAAACATTAGACAAAGCATCTCCAATCCTAAATAATCAAATAGAAAAGTAAGATAGGTTTAGATGGTGTTTTGGAACTGGACTCTGGAATGTGAATAGATAACAGCAAAGAAAAGGAAGGGAAGAGGGGAAAATGGACACAAAAATATGTCATAAGAAGTGCTGTAAGATTAGTTTTGCAGGGGGATGACACCTGGAAGTGCTCAGAGATCACTCTTGGCAGGGTGTGGGAGGCCATATGGGATGCCCAGGATTGAACCCAAATTGGCTGCATGCAAAGCAAATACTCTACCTCTGTATTATCTTTCTAACCTAAGATTTACCTGAGTTATATATGTGAAGTGATCCTAACAGTGCCTGGCATAGAGTATTAGCTATTATTAGCTAATTATATTCAATAATATATAATAGTTATTAGCTATTATTGAATATAATAATGCATCTCTGATATATAAATGTTATATTGGCAAGCTACCCTTGACATATTCGATATGCCAAACACAGTAACAATAAGTCTCACAATGGAGATGTTACTGGGAATGCTCAAGCAAATCGCTGAACAATGGGAGGACAGTGACAGTGACAGTATCATTGTAGGCCTTCACTAATAATTTAGGGAAAATAAACAGAATATTGTTAATTGGTATAATCTTAGACAGGCCTTAATAATCCTGTGCCTCAATTTATTCATCTATAAAATGGGAATGATAATAATATTTGCATTCACTCAACAAATAGTTCCCAGTGTTTATGCACCAGGTCTATAAGAATGACAGTATCTGCTGCCAGAGTGAAAGTACAGCAGGTAGAGTGTTTATCTTGCATGTGCTGATCCAGGCTTAACCCCCAGCATCCTATGTGGTCCCCTGAGTACCACCAGGAGTGATCCCTGACCACAGAGCTAAGAATCATCCCTTCAGCACTGCTGAGTGTGAATTCCCCTAAAAAAAAAAAATAAGAAAGGGGCTGGAGCAATAGCACAGTGGCTAGGACATTTGCCTTGTATGTGACCGACCCAGGTTCAATTTCCAGCATCCCATATGGTCCCCTGAGCACTGCCAGGAGTGATTCCTGAGTGCAAAAGCCAGGAGTAACCCCGGAGCATCACTAGGTGTGACCCAAAAAGAAAAAAAATAAAAAGAATGACAGGATCTGAACTCACAGGACCCCATATTGGGCACTGACTAAGGATCCTGGCAGACACTTACCTCTCCTTCACAAAGTGGTAAGTGTCCTCAACAGCACCCATCCTGGAAGTGCTGGTACTGGCAAAGACGTCATTCACTACCAGGGCAAATCTGTCTGGGTCATTGCTTGTGGCTCTGAGGACCACATAGAGAGGTGTGCCAAGGGGAACGGGTCTGTTCTCAAGCGGAGATGAATGCTGAGGGTCTGTGAAGATGCCCAGGATGACAATGGTGTCCCCAGTGCCTGGAACATGGATAGTGCTGTATCTGAAGAGACAGGAGTCAGACCTTCAACATGGACTTCTGGAGGGAGTGACATTAATTCGCTTTTGCCTTACAGCCACGCTCTCTGAGCACCGGAGGCCACAGAGAGTAAGGGGAGGAGAGAAGATACTCACTAACCTTTCCCCTGCACTTCCTAAAAAGTGAAGGGCCACCTCTGAGATCCTCAGATCTAGGAGACTTGAACCCATTTCACCCCACAGAAACTTACATTAAAAAAACCCATAATGCATTATTTCAGAGAAGTCTCTTTTCCTTTCACCAATGATTTGAGTCTCAATTTAAATGGTGCCTGTGACAATTGATTGGGCTTAGAGCATTCTGAAGGGGAGGCTCCTTTCTCTTAGATTGGAGGTGGTCATGAGAACTCAGGCACCTCTGCAGAGCAGAGAGGCTATTGGCAGGGCAGAACTCACGGGAAGGAGACAATTGGGTAGGGGTGGGTCTGGCTGACATTCATCACCAGAGGGTACACGCAGCTGACTCTGAGCAACCTGGAATCAGTCAGGGCAAAACCAGCGAGAACTTGAAAAAGCTCCACCTCCAGAGAATAAAGGGCATGGCTGTTGTTGGTCTAGAAAAAGACAGAAAAGCAGCCATTATTATCTTATCTCTAAGGGAAACTTCCCACCTTCACTGGTTACAAATTATATAATCGGGGCTATAATGGCACCCTGTGATGCTCAGGGAACCCTGAACTTCCACACGCAAAGCTTTGAGCCATCTCTCAGGCTCAAGGTCTTATTTATCATTTCTTTGGTTGATTGGTTTGGTTTGGGGGCTACTCCCAATGATACTGTACAGTTTTCAATGCTGGGAAGTGGGGGTGTCACTCCTAGCAGTGCCTAAGGAACTATTCGGAGCTGAATAGTCTATAACCTAAGCAAACTGGGATACACTGCATGAAAGGGATATGCTTCAGTCCGTTGAGTTATTTTCTCAGTCACCAAAAGATCACTGAGTATGTGCTGTGTGCCAGGCACAGTTCCAACCACAATTCTCTGGAAAGCATTCTGATATGAGTGCTATTTACAGAAAAGCAAGCTGAGGCTTAGAAAGTTGAACCATGCAGAGTGCCCCAAGACAGCCTGAGCACAGAGTCAGGAGGAGCCCTGAGCACCTCCAGGCCTGATCTCCAAACCAAAAAACCAAACACCAACTAACAAAAATCCCCCATAAATAAAAAATTTTG